TTGGACTGTAAAGAAAACTGAGCACCGAAGAACTGATGCTTTTGAACTGTGGTGTTGGAGAAGACTCTTGAGAGTCCCTTGGACTGCAAGGAGATCCAACCAGTCCATCCTAAAGGATATCAGTCCTGAATATTCATTAGAAGGACTGATGCTGAAGCTGAAACTCCAATATTTTGGCCACCTGATGCAGAGTTGACTCATTGGAAAAGATCCTGATGCTGGGAGGGATTGGGGGCAGGAGGAGAAGGGGATGACAGAGGATGAGATGGCTGGATAGCATCACTGACTCGATGGACATGAGTTTGAGTAAACTCCGGTAGTTGGTGATGGACAGGGAGGCCTGGCATGCTGCGATTCATGGGGTAGGAAAGAGTTGGACACGACTGAGCAACTGAACTGAACTGAATTGAGATCTCAATGAGAAAACAGGATTTCATGAATAAAACTCCCCATACAATTATGATGTAGATTGAAGGGCAAAGAGTACAATGTTTCCTTCTTAATTTCTCTGTTTATTGGTTGGGGCTTTTGTCAAAACTGAGTCTAAACACCTGAAAGAAATTCAGTAGACGTTAATTTAATAATCCCTGCCCTGGCAATTTGATGACCTGCTTGATGTGACCTCCAGCCTGTTAATTCCATGAAGCCAGGAAGTTTCCTCTGTACCTATCACAGAGCCTGGCATGTAGTAGGTGCTCAGTAAATAGTTGATGAGCAAATAAATACAGTAAGTTTCCTACATGCGAAAAAGTGTTCATAAATCCAGTTTGTTCGGAAGTCCAACAAAGTTAACCTTGGTACCCAACCAACAAAATCTGTCTAGTACTGTACTGTGATGTGTTTATAATATTTTTTCACACAAATAGTCTATACATAAAAACAAACAGAAAATAAACAAAACATTTTAAATCTTACAGCATCTTGAAAAATACAGCAGTATAGTACAGCAGATGGCATACAATGGCTGGAAACATGTTTGCATGTTCTCAAGCTTGCAAGTTCACATTTAGGGGACTTACTGTAAATGGTTTGACTACGACTCTATGTTATGAATAACAGGACTTGCATTGAAAATAATTACATGTATTCTACAGTCATATTAACAAAATTTCAATGTGTTGGGTGTGTAATGGGTTATTTCCATTGATGCAATTCAAAACTCAAATGCATTCATTATAAATTCTAGTAAAATATGCACAGTTTCTATATAAATACCCCCTCAAGTCTCCATAGGTTTGCTTACATCAGATATCCACTAATTTCTGCTAAGTCACAAGACAAGTTATACCCTGAAGTTACATAGAATGCTCATGTGGTTTCTCGCCCATCTTCGGTTTTGATCTGCACAGCTCCGGTATGAGGTAGTGAAGGCAAATGGATTTTCCTTTGAAACTGGGCTTCCATCAGCATTGACCTCCGTGGAACCAGGGTCACTCTGACATCTGGAATGATGATGGAGCTTCAGAAATACGTTCAGATTCACATCATTCATGTGAGACTTCCCTCATCTGTTTGCATCTAATGGGATCAAAGCCACAGTAGCACTTGCAGCCCCAAAGTAAAGAAATGGTGGTTGATTCTCTAGCCCATGGTCTGGGCCTCTAGAACCTCCTTCCGTAAACCCACAGCCCTGAGGGCATCCATCTCGTGTGGGTACTCTGGGCCCTGGCCGTGGCTTCCTGACTCAGCTCAGGTGAGCAGCCTGCTTGATGCAATGGGAGTCGTTTCCTGGTCTGCCCTTGTTCCAGGTGAGATGGCCTTCACCCACTCCTAGAAACACACCCCTCATTTCTGGCACCCCTTGTTTATATCAAGGCCAAGGCTCTCATGCGATCTTGAGCCTAAAGGATGGAGTCCCCTTTTGATGCTGGGGACCACAGTACGAGGCAGCCTGGCCTACTCCACGAGAATTACCCTGTTTGTTCCCTGGCCCTGTAGCTGTGGAAACCAAATGCCTCCACGGTCCTGTAGCCAGTCTGGAAGCCCCTGGCCCAGCATCCTCACTACCTTATCTGTGCAGAAGGATCACCTAGCAGATGCTAAAAAATACAACTTCTGAGGCTTATCCCGAGACCCTGACTCACCTTAGGTCTCCGGAGGAAGGGGTTCAGAAACCTGCATAAGACATAGATTTAAATCCCAGGTGTCCTCTCGGCAGGTGCTCACTGGCCCAAACTTGGGGAGACTTGCACTCCAAGATCAGTGCTGCCCTGTTTCCAACATGGATATTTGTGTTTCTCTTGGAAGACTTGTGTCAAAGGGGTTCCTTCTGGGTGTGATTAAGCACTTTGTAGATTGCATGGGAGCAATTATTATCAGAACTGAAATTTTACTAAAACGGGAGCAATGATGTTCAAGTCAGGTGACCTGGGGTTGCCACCAGGTGAAAGTCGGTTTTCTTTGTAGTGAGTAAACCTCAGCCCTGAAACGCGCTGCGTGCAGGGTCAGGGGGAGGGGGAGGGAGGGTTGTCGAGCTCCCCAGTGGCTGTCTGTGTTGCCGGCCCTGCAATCAACTGGAAGCTTTAATTAAAGAGGTTCGAGGTGGGGAGGGAGACATGGATACCTGTGGCTGATTCATGTCAATGTATAGCAAAAACCACCACAATATTGTAAAATAATTAGCCTCCAATTATAATAAATAAATTTAAAATAAATAAATAAAAAGCACCAACAACTGGGCCCCACCCCCACGGATTCTAAAGGAATCGTTGGAGAGGAGGCCTGAGCGCTGGAGATTTTATAAGCACCCAGATGATTCTGTCTGGACTGAAAACCACCGAAGACGAGCCCCCGCTTTAGAGAAGAGGGTTCAAGCAGAGCCTGGCTCGCACTGGCCATCTGGAGAAAGGTCGCCATGGTGCTTTGATTGTTATTATTATTATTGGCTGAGCTGCGCAGCACTTGAGATCCTAGTTCTCCGACCCGGGGTCAATCCTGTGCCCCCTGCAATGGGCGTGTGTAGTCTTAGCCACTGGACTACGCACTCCTAAGACCAGAGCTGCCCTGTTTCCGCCATGGATATTTATTTTTCTCTTGGAAGACTAGTTCCGGTTCTTTTACTTTGTTTTGTTTTCTTTATATTTTCGTGGCCATGCCACATGGCATGTGGGATCTTTGTTCCTCAACCAGAGATCAAGCTCCCACCCACTTCATTGGAAGAATGAAGTCTTGACCGCTGGATCGATAGGGAAGTCTGATGTTTTGATTTTTTAAAGGATAATTTTCAAGATGATGTTCCTCTCCATTTCTTCTTATTCACCTAACTCTTGTCATTTTTTGAATTTCCAACTTGCCACATATCTTTACTTTTCATTTTTATTTTATATTGGAGTATAGTTGAGTTACAATGTTAGCCTATATATTTCAAATGTAACACCTGTAAGCTGATGGAGATTGCCATGAAAACAAGAAAACAAAGGAAAAACCAAGAAATACGAACTGTCCCTCTTTCCATGTCTAATTGCAAGGATGCAAGGAGTCTTGGGTGCTAAGATCACATGCACGGGTCCTCCAATCAGAAGTCCAGCTGGAGGAGAGCATTCCGATAGCTAAGTGAATGAATGTGAATCCTGCTCTAAAGAAAAGAAAAAGCCACTGTGCTTTCTTATTCCATCGTAGGAAGAGAACAATTTGCTCTCATCAAATGCAGGCCCTCCCCTGTTTGGAAAGACCAGCCATACCACGACTCTGTCCACGGTTTTCCATGAGCTCTCTGGGTCACCTGCATCAGGCTCTCAGGAACGTTGGCTACAATGCGGATGCCTGCACCCCACCCACAGACCCGCAGATCTGGGGCCTGGGGAACCTGCAAGTGTAACATCCCAGGCGACCCTCGGGTTCCTTGGCGTTCACAAGCTGCTGTTCTCCATGCTGAGCACAGTTATGCCTTCAGGGCCCCGAAGTGAAGATCCCTCAGGCAGCGTGGGGCGAGCAGGCCTCTGGGTTATTTTGGGTGCCTTGCAGTGTATGCAAGGGTTCATCTGAAGCTCCTGGAATAAGGAACATCAGCACGGAGGCTCAGAACCTCGCGAGCATCCCCTGGTGCTGGACACTCTCAATCTTCCATGTGGTTTTCTGCATTACTTCGTGCACATGTGTGATAAAATCAAAATAAGGGCAGAGTCTTCTTCCTGGTCTCGACCTAGGTAGATGTTTTATTAAAGATCACAGCCCGCTGCTTGGACACACTGGTGATTGACTGTCAGGACGTAGGATCTGCTGATTAGGAAGCATGCAGCCCTTTGCTCGTGATACTGGACAAGAACTCATGTTCAGGTACCTGGGCATTGAAACGCCACAAAACTGCATCTGTTTTGGCCCAAACCCCCACGCTCATCCCATTCTGTTATGTGCTGTCATTACGGTGTTAGTCTGGGTGGTTGTCAAGCCTGGGCATTTGATTTCCGTTAATTTTGGTTTCTGGACTTTGATCCTGTGATGGATCGCCTGGGCGAGTGACTGAATTCCGGTCTAGACCCAGCAGAGATTGAGGACTCTGCTGGAGAGTCGGGGACTGAGATCAGGAGTGGGGGTGCTCTTTGGAATCACATGATCCATGGAGGAGCCTGGACTCATCTCCCATGCACACCTGTGCCCCCGAATCCCAGCCATCCTCCAGAACGCACCTTCCCTCTTCTGTGAATCTGGGAACCTGTATCCAGGCACTCCTGGGCCTGGTGAAGGTGACTGTTGAAATCTGATTATCCCCATCAACAAAAACATCATTAAATAAACTCAGTATAGACACCAGCAGAGAAAAAACAATTCCCCAGTCAGAGGAATTTTTCCAGAATGTCTAGTCATTTCACAAGCAGATATGGGTTTCCTGCCCTTAAGATGCTCAGAGGTGGTGGGTGTCAGGTGTGTGATGAAAGGCCTTGGATGAGAAATACTTGAGTGTTAGGAAGGACACTCTCCAGCATCCTCTTGGCCCTTGAAAGAGTTATGTGCCTGCATTACAACAAGCTGCTTGAATAATTACCATCTTTTTCCATTTGCAGGGGACTCTGGCATCTCAGAATACAAAGATGATTTCATCCATAGTCATTTCACAGCTGATTGATGAGAATAAATCAAAAGAAAATGGGGCCGCGTTGCCTATGCCGTGTGCATGTCCCATGAAGCCGTCTCTGGCTAATCGCAGCAGAGTCACCATTAACAGGGCCCCCGAGTTCCTTCCTGGAGGACTGGGAATTCAGACCCCGGCGGGGGAGCCAGGACTCAAGACTAAGCCACCGCCCAAGGAGGAGAAGCCATGCAGTGGCTCCCAGAAGGGTTTTGCATCCATCACCATCACGGCCAGGCGTGTGGGTGCCCCTGCCAGCACCCTGGTGTGGGAGGCTGTTGGGGACCCGCTCTGCGTCAAGTGCAGGGCCCGGGACGCCCTGCTTGGGGACCCCTCTGCTCTGGCCGGCAGGGCCGATCCAAGTCAGCAGCACGGACCTTTCACTTGTACAGAGTTCTCCAGAAACAGCTGCGTGATGGGGCTGAAGGTCCCTGAGGCCCATTCACAGCTGTGTGAGCGACATGGGTACTGGATCACCAACGTGGACCACGGGGAGGATCATTTTTCTCCAGGCACCTCGCGGTCACGGGCAGGAAAGAGCCCGCTGTTGTTCAGCTCGTGTGTCCATCTCAGGGTGTCCCAGTCGTGTCCCAATCCCATCTACTATCTGGACAGGTCCCTGTCTGTCCCTGTGGAGCCACCTCGGCTTGCTGGCCCGAAGACGCACAGATCCGTCCTGTCCCTCAACCTGAGCTGCAGTGCACACAGGCTGACACCAGATGGCGGAGACGACACAGAGATCAGAGAGCCTAGACGCGGAGCCCTGAGGCCCGCGCTCCGGGAGGGAGACCAGGACCTCCTTGGCCCACGCTGGAACCTGGGTTTGCAAGGAAGTTTCTCGAAGGAAAACCCATCGTTGGGGCAGGTGCATTTCGGGAACTTGGGGACTGGCAGGTGTCCTTGGAGAGGCTCTCCTCCTTTGGAAAATGCAGAGGTGGGAACTAACCAGATCACCATGAGAAAACGGAAGGAGAACCAGGCGGCTCATTGTCCCACCCGTGGTCACGATCAGGCCCACCAACTGTCCATTCACATCCCGGGCTGGAGTTACACGGCAGGTGAGTGACGCTCCCATCCTCCCCGCCACCAAGGCAGGCCCCTCCCTTGGTAATTGGTGTGATTGCCAAGGTGCTTAGTGAGATTCTTCTAGGTCAGTTACGCCAAGAAGCAGTTCTCAGTAGTCGCTTCATCTGTTCCACTCAGAGTTGACCGTAGCTCCATATCTATGTCTGGTTGGACAGATGTTCTTAGATAATGCTTCTGTAAATTATGAAAGGTCTTCCCATAAACGTGTTTCCATCAGTAGCTCCAGACCGTATGTAATAACTCGCCCCAAGTGAAGTTCACTTAGGCCCTTGTCATTCCAGGGCAGGATGGGAAGAACCAAGGGCCATCCACTCCCAGATGCCTTATCCCTCTGCTCTGAACATCTGCATGTCTGGAAGTGTCCAGGCTTCTGTGCTGTTTGCTTTTCAATTGGGTCATTGATATTGATGGTTTGGCCTTAGAAACCTGGACCACAAGACTCCATCATGGAGTATATATGTGAGAGTGTGAGTGTCTGTATGTGAGTGTGGATAGCAATTATGGGATGTTTTCAAAAAGAGGCAAAATGGGGCTCTCCATAGCAAACAGCAGAAGTAGTAGTTTTCTGTCCCCTTAGTTACGTTTTCTGGGGGCCGACTGGCTGGGATATTTGCCTTTCTGCCATTGCCCAGGGCCAGGCAGAATTCCCAGGGCCAGCTGTTCTGGGTATCCATCACCTTTCTAGGGAGACTGGAGTTGGAGGTGGAGGGGGCCTTAATCAGAGGTCAGATTTCTTTCCTTTCCTGTGTATACTTCTGTGAGAAGCTCTGGTTTATGAATTAGTGACTTACCACTTGGGGAAAATATTTAAAGACAATAGTGGTAAAATTGACTAAAATGCATATGCAGCATATGCATAATAATTTTCTGGTACAATTTTTGCCCATTAAAAGCTTTATTAATTAATAAAAATGACTGTAAAACATTTTAAAGCTATAATGTGTATAGAAATGTTAAATGATGTAATTAATTTTAACAAGTGTGTATATATTGAATGCTCAGAGATTTTTAAGGCAATTTGACATGGCTTTCAGAACTGATGAGACTGTTGAATGCCTCGGAGCCTGGCAGACTTATTGCAACTAGGAAAATGTTAGCAGCCATCAGTGTTGCAAAGCTGGGCCTCACTTTGGTTTTTAAAAGACATTTCTCAAGCCAGCCATTTCTTCTTCCCTGTTGATGAAGATTCTGGAAATATATGGCCTGTACTGTTGCACGCTTCCCTGTTGAAGCATACCCTAGTCTTTTTGCAGTGTCTCATGGTATAAAATCATAATTTAGATTTACAGCACTTTCAACGTAAGAGTCTTAAAAATCACTAGAGCCAGGACTCAAACATTTATCTCAGAGGAACATGAGCAAAGAAAATCCCCCCATCTTATTCTTGACTTTGGCGCAGAGAAGGTTTCTGCCTGTGATTTTGTGAAATGACTTCTCCTATAACTGGCTTTCTTAGGCAAAATGTATGAGTTAATTTTTACCTCCCCTGAACTGACCTCCCTCAGAATAGATCTAACCCCGATGAGGCAGGTGTGGAGTGTTTGAGAGGCTCTAAGTTGCCTGGCCCTGCTCTACCATTTGAGGAAGGAGAAGCTCACAGAGGCCAGATCACCTTCTTAGAGTTGCTCATCTATTATTTTGCATCACATTGAACATGCAGAAGCCACACTAACCCTCTAAGCCTGTTTCCTCATCTGGGTAACTACAGAAGGGGTTGTATTTGGTATTCTTGAAGCTTCCCTTAAGCTTTAACAAATTCTGCTCTTTTTGAGATGAAATCTATAAGGGAAAGAGGTTCCATGTGACTCTGGGCCCTCAGTCATGAAGTTCAGAGTTACAGAACCTTGGGCTCACTGGAACACATGTGTTCATGTGTATAAATGCACACACACACACACACACACACACACACACACATATCCCTGTAATGTGCTCTCTCACTCAGAAACTCATTTGCAATGGGATGTATTTCTTCCCAGTGACAAGAAAGCACTTCTTGTTCACATGATAGGATTCTTGGCCTGAAATTTATAAGCACAGCTCATCATGGATTCTAACTACCACAATCTGTCCTAGCACAGTCAACATAAGTCTGCAAGGGTGAGCTCTCTGACCTTCAGTCTTGACAAAGCTTTTTAACCTTAAGGCAAGTACTTGCCAACAGTGGTAATGCTCATTAAAACGCAAAGGAACTGTTTGTGTTTTTTTCATTTGAAACTGGAATCTTATCTGAGGCATTCTTGACAGCCTCCTGTGGCTACACATTTATTAGTGGTCTTCATACTTCATAGGTGAAGTATGGTTCACCTGTGGTTCATTGGAAGAATCTGACTCTTTGTATCTGAAGGATTCCAAAATATCAAATGAGCAGTATCCTCACTAGCCGACTTGCATTCTGCTGCAAGGTAGGTGCAGCCCTGGAGATTCTGCCCAAATGGAGGCAAAGCAATTTCAGCTCTAGTTATTAGGTCATCAGACAGACAGTCCTATAAATTGTATTCTTGAAAGAGCCTCCAGGACGCACACCCAGAAAGATTACTAAGATTAGAGAAAATGAGATGCTATCGAGTGCTTTGTGTAATGCAGATTGGCCGTGGCTGCCAGGACACGCATTCTTAGCAGACCCAGTGGCCCTGTTCTCTTTTCAGAGGCTGGGGGCTTGGGAATGCGTTCCATCTTTGTCCATTTCCTCAGTCCCTATAAGTTTGTTACTTCTCCACTGTTAGAAGCATCCTGCTGGCACCTGGTAGGTGGGCATTCAACAAATCCCAGCATCTACTTGTAGGGAAGAATTTCACCATCACCACCACCCCACCATTACCATCTTATCAATACCCACAACACACACTGTGGAAATCCTAGAGGCTAAGCCCTGGGTTACATGCACTGTATTCATTGCTTTGAATCATTCAAATCCTTCTATAAAGAGAATATCATTATTCCTATTTTGCAGAAAAGACAGACAAGGCTTGAAGGTTAAATAACGTGCCCAGGCCCACCTGGCCAGGGGGTGCCAGAGCTGAGTTCAGTCCTGTGTGTTTGCTCCAGCTGTGCCATCCTCAGTGAGAGCACAGAATAGATCAAGTTAGCAAGGTGGGGACTCTCTCAATGGTGGCCCCATCTCCATTACCACTGTCCGAGGTGATGCTCAAACACTGCTCCTGGGTGTATAAATAAGACCAGTTACCCTGGTAGAATCTGTTCGGAGAAGAAGCAGCACAGTTAATTTCTAGCTTAATGTAACAAGCCATGCCATTGATACAGTTAAAACTTACTGGCTCAGACGTCCTTCCTAGCCGGAGATCTGTGCTCCTGGTGTTCTGTGGGACATAGAGCTGGCCGGGATGTTTCTCTCTTCACTGCGTGTTGCATACCTAAGCCAGGATCAAGTTCCATACATTACTTATTGCCAGTTTCGTTTCCCATCTGTGGTCTAGATCTGAAGCTTTCTGCTGTTCCCGAGACACCCAAGTAGATGAGCCAGAACCACCTGTTTCTATTTCGATGCTTGTGGAGAAGACACTGTTGAATGGACACCATCTGCCAACATGTTGGCACGTTCTAGGTGGACGCCCATGTTCTAGGTGGACGCCCATGTTCTAGGTGGACGCCCATGTTCTAGGTGGACGCGCTGTCTTAGAATGGCTGTGGTGGTGTGGGTCTGAGAAGTCCTCAGTTGGAATTCAGTCAGAAGACTAAGAAATACAGCATTCCTTCCATGACCTGGAATCACTAGTGGCCAAAGCTGGGAATGACTGGAGAGGGAGGAATCCCTTCCTGGTCACGGAAGGAATGCTGTGTTTGCTAGTGTTCTGACACAGTGATCTAATGCATTTGTAGCAGTGAGGTTTATTTCATGAAGAAACCACTTGTGCCATTCAAGGGAAGGCTACATGACACTGTGTGTATACATCCCAGGTCTACCAGAGAAGCCTGCGTTACACTCAGCTCTCAGGCCCATGAAGGCTTCTTGCTAGAAATGCCAGAAGACATTTGAGGAGGAACCCTTGTTTTACAACTGTGCTTTTTTCTTAAATGATCTAGAACTGGGGTTGGCAAGCTTTTTTTTTTCCTTTTTGGAAAGGGCCAGGTAGCAATTAAGTATAGGCTTTGCAGGTCACATGGTCTCCATAGCCGCTGCTCAGCTCTGCCGTCGTAGGATGAAAGCGGCTGCAGACAGTGTGTAAATAAATAAGCATGGCTCTGTTCCAATAAAACTTTATTGCCCAAAGCTAGCCGTGGCCCAGATTTGACTTGCCAGCTATAATTTGCCTGCTCTTTATTGTCTATTCTCCAAGACAAAGTTTGCCCTGTTGGCCATTGCTCCATGTTGGAGTCTGTGGAAACCCAGCTCTCTCTGAGATGGCCGTGAATGGGCATTTGTTGCTCAGTGCTCGTGGAGTAGCACGTTGATGGCTTTAGAACATGAATGTTCTGCAATGCAGTCACAATGAAAGCCTCAGAGGGCTCTGAATTTGGAGTGGCCTTTCAGAGTTACTCCGGGGGTGAGGGGACAGGGCCTCAGTCCTGGGATGGGGATATGACCTTTGGTGAGCCTTCTGGTTGCCATAGTTACGCTGAACTTACCAGGACTGTCTTCCTGCAGGGCCCCAGCTGCAGTGAGGGACTGCATCCTTCATCCCATAGGAGAGGATCTGAGTGTATCCCAGCTGGCCAGTCTGCAGTTTAATCATTCTCTCTTCTCTGTGGCCTCATAATTCTCTAAAACAAGTAGATCTTTCAGGGCTGGACCTGGGGCAACGGGGGTTGGGGGGTGGGGTATGGATCTTAGCACCTGTTTGAAGAAATCCTGCATTCCCACCCTGGACCATTTTTGTTTTGGTTTTTCTTTGTTTCATTTTTTTTTTTTGGTTGTTTTTTTATATGCACTCCAAAAAAACCTAACTCTTTTGGTTTACTCTAGCAGATCCACTCTTCACTGCCCCACTCCCCAGAGGCACTTGCTTCTCTA